AGTCGGTCCTCGCGTCGCCGGCGGGCCGGCCCGACGCGACCGCCGCGGCCGCGCGCGCGCCGCAGCCGCCGCCGCCCGGCGCGGGCGCGTCCGCGGCCGCGCCGCGGCTCGCGCCGCCGACGCCGCCCGGCGACGAGTCGCGGCGCTGGCGCGACCGCGCGCTCGCGGCCGAGGAGGAGCTCCGCCGCGAGCGGTCCGCGTCGCCGCGGCGCGACGAGGAGCTCCACCGCTGGCGGCGCCGCGCCCTCGAGGCCGAGGAGCGCGCGCGGAGCGACGGCGAGGCCGCGACGCCCGTCGCCTCGCCGCCGCCGCCGCCGCGCGACGATCTCGCCTCGTCGGCGAACTTCTCCGCGGCGGCGGCGTCCGTGGGCACGCTGTCCACGGCGGACGTCGCCCAGCTCCTCGCCTGCCAGGCGCAGACCCTCGGCGACGAGATCCGCGCGACGATCAAGGAGCTCGTCGGCGGCGGCGCGGCCCCCCGGCTCCTCGCGGCCGCGCCGCCGCTCGCGGCCGCGGCGCCGCCCGGCGCGCCGGGGGCCGCCGGGGGCTCGCCGCCGCGGGGAGCGCCCGAGGCGACGGCGCGCGCGGCGCGCGACGAGTTCGCGGCGCTCATGGAGTCGCAGACGCGCATCGCCGTGTGGAAATCAACCGCTGGCGGGTGGTCCCGACCAAACTTCGAACCTCTCCAGCTCGGTCACATCGACGTCGATTTGGGTGATTTTTGGACGAATCCATCGCTCTCGTCGAGGTCTCGAACGAAGTGATCGCGTCGAAACGGTCGCGTACGCGCACATTGAAGTCGAGTTGAGGATTTGAATCAGGCGCATCGCGCGGAAGCTCGAGGCGGACCTGGGGCGGCTCCGCCACGACCTCGACGACATCCGCGGCGACGACGGCGGCCACCTCGCCTACCCCGCGCTCCTCGGCGACGCGCCCCGGCCGCGCCACACGTGGCACGGCGACATCGTCCGCCGGCCGCCGCCGAAGACGTACTACGAGCGCGGCGCGGCCTTCTCGGACTGGAAGCCCGCGGCCGGCCCCCGCCTCGGCCGGGGCGCCTACGGCGGCGCCTACGGCGGCGCCTACGGCGGCGCGCCGGCGCGCCGCGCCTACGTCGCCGTCGGCCCCGAGTTCAACCCGACGAGCCCCGCGCTCCGGGAGTGGTGGGGCAACATCACGAGCGCGGACCGGCCCGTGGTCCTCAACATCTCCACGTCGGACCGGCCCGTCTACTGAGGCGAGCTGGCTTAAGCACGCGAGGACCATGGGAGGGCGTCGGATCTCAGGCGTGCTCCGCGCGGGGCGTGAGGTACGAGACGACGCGCGGCACGACGTCGCGAGCCTCCTGCCGCTCCGGATGCTCGTCGCGATGGCCGATGACATTGAAGAAGAGAGACATGGCGTAGTCCTTCCGCAGGAGGCGCACGATTGGCTTGCGGTAGACGCGCGGAACGCCGCGCCGGTCGTGCGTCACCACACAGCGGTCGTCAGTGTATTCGAGGATGAGCTCCGCCATGCTGACGTCGCCCCGCGCGCAGGCCGATTGCAGCGACGGCAGCTCGCCCTCGGCGCCATGCTCGAGGAGCAGTCGCATGAGGTCGGCGTTCGACTTTGCACAGGCCACGGACAGCGGCGTCATCACTCCATCTTCGTCCGACGGAAACATATCGAAACGGTCTCCAGACCACTGGTTAACATCGGCGCCGTAGTTCAAGCACAGACGTGCCACGTCGACGTGGCCTCCGATGCACGCGATGAGGAGCGGCTCGATCCCTTGTTCTTCTTTGGAGAACTCGCGGTATTCGTCGTTATATTTCTTTTCTTTTTCTTCAATCGAATTCCCATCATCCACATCATCAACATAATTGTTGTAAATCGCATTTTCGTCTTGAAAAGAGTAGTCGTCCGTATAATTATTGATCCAGGTCATAGCGTGGACGTCGACACCATGCTCCAGCAACACTCGCGCCACGTCGACATGCCCTTTTTCACACGCTTCGAACAGCAATATCGTATCATCCGGGTTGATTTCGACACCGTATTCGACGAACAGCTGCACCATGTCTGCATGACCCCGTTCGCACGCGTATGACATTCCTAACTCTTTACCTCGGGCGCCGTGCTCTAGGAGCTGTCGTGCAGCGTCGACGTGACCAAATTGCGACGTGTAAAACAGCAGGTTGCACAGCAGGCTGTCTTTTTCTTTCGTAGGTCCGTCGTCGTCGAGCATCTCTTGGAGCTCTTCCGTCCGCCCGTCCCGGCAGGCTTCTTTTAGCATTTCGCGTCGGGCGCGGGCAAGTCCCATCGCGCTGCGACGGCGGGCACACGCCTCGAGCCGCGCGGACCCCGCGCGCCGCGACGAACTCCGACGACGCCGTCCGAGGCACCGAGGCTGGGCGGCGCGCTTGGCTTGACTCGGGACGGCACCGTCTACCTTGCACCGACCTTGCACCTACCTCAGCCGCCTCAAAGTGTGGCAGCTCCTCGCGCGCCGCGACACGCACATGCCGCTCGACGCGCGGAGGCTCGTCGCGCAAGGACTCGCAACAATGGTCGCGCTGCGCCTCGGCTTCCTGACGATGCAGGCGCTCGTGCGACGCAGGCGGCGCGGCGTCGCGCGGTCCGTCTTCGGCGACGCGCGCGCGGAGTACTTCAACGGCGGCGAGGCCAGCATCGCCGCCGTGCTCGGCCCGGCGAGCGCGCGGGGCCTCCAGGTCATTTTCGACTTCGACCGCACGCTCACGGCGTCGAATTCGTCGCAGTGCCACGACGGCCTCCGCCGCGTCGACGACGCGTCGCTCGCGGCCGCGCTCGAGCCCTACTGGCGCTTCGGCGACGCGGGCGGGCCGCCGCCGATCCGCGGGCGGCCCATGCGGAGCTGGTGGGACGACGTGCACGGCCTCCTCGCGACGCACGGGGTGACCATGGCGGCGCTCGAGGCCGCGGACGCGAAGGATCCCGCGGTCCTCCGGCCGGGAGCTGCCGCGGCGCTGCGGGAGCTGCGGCGCCTCGGCGTGCCGACGCTCGTCGTGTCCGCGGGCCTCGAGCACGTCATCCTCGGCGCGCTCGCGAGGGCGGGCTTCGACGACGCGGCGCCCGCGCTCGACGGGGGGGGGCACGAAGGGATCAAAGTCCTCGCGAACCGGCTCATCACGGACGACGACG